ATAACCCACAGGGCAAAACCTCCCTGGTGAGATGAAACCTTGCTTGGCTAGACATTTAGAAGAGTTCAAGGTGTTTTGGAGAAGCAGAGGGTTGAAGATCCCAGTTCTCTCCACGTAGTTGTGGCTGTGTGTGCAGTGTAACTCTGTGGATGTGTTCAGATGTTGCCTTTGTGGAGGTAGACGTATGTTTGTAGTATGAGAGTTTGTATGAGAAAGCTTAGGTAACTAGAGGCTGAGGTGAGCTTTTAGTGTCCAAACAGGACTGGTTTGCGAGGGAATTGGGCTGTTCTTCTGGATTTCAGGTGCAAACACCTGCGATAATGAATCAGTTGGTGCTATAGAGATGGAAAGAGATGGCAGCCAGGGTCAGGCAGTCTGATCTGTAGTACTCTCCAATGATTCACCTTGTAATGAGGTAAATAACTTGGGATTATTGAGCCCAGTAACACCTTTCCCTTTCAGAAATAGTCTTGCTTTGGAGATAACCAGAGTCTCTTGCATCCACAGGCAGTTAGTTTGTTCCCCAGACTGATAAGGCATGCTGCTTAAAAAAAAATAAATAAATCAGTGCACTACGAAAACTGTAATACTCATCCACAGTGGTAGCACATGTTCCTAGACCAGTCCTGAAGGATTCACAGACAGATGTTCACAACTGACCATGAGAACTGTAGGAGCCTGAAGAGCTGCCCTGCATGCCTGTGGCCTTCCTACTGGATGTGTTCTGCGCTTACTTGAAACACGTGGTCACGATCCATTCCCTGGTCCCTTCACACCACAATTTCCATCATCTGCAAACAAGGACCATCACCACATCCCTGTAAGTACTTTGGCCTGTTTGGCAGCCCCATTTGGTGAACACACTGCGTTAGGCATGATGCTTTTGCCCATGGGGGCATCCCCTTTGCAATCCCTGCCACTGTGCAGGTACCAGCAGAGCTATCAGTGGCTCCATGAAGCGGTTTTCATGCACAGCCATCGATTATGAATATGTTACTATATTAGGTCCATTTCTGGATCCATCTGCCTTGGCAGGCAGGCAGCCCAGATGCCTGGCTGAGAGATGACATTCCCTGCCTCTGGGCTCTCCTTTCCATGCTTGGCCAGCAGAGCTGCCAATGCAGCCTGCGAGCCTGCTGGAGCTGGGCACTACCCACTTTGATGTCATTTGCCAGACTGGTATTTGCTATCAGTTATTTTCTTAAGGCTCTCTTGTCCTTTTAGGGGTAGAAAGGGATGTTTTAGTAGGCATTGGTGTGTTTTGTACAGGAATGTGCGTGCCTGCTGTAATGCTCCTGGCATGCCAGTACTTATCCTCCTGGCTTTTTTCTGTGCCAACTGCAGTGGAACTTATTATGCCAACTCCAAAACAATCCCCTCCTGGTTTAGCTGACTTTTGTAGCTGTGTCCAAAGCTAGTGCAGTTCAGGAAGAAGAGCTTTTAATGATTTGTGCCCAATAAGATTGTGCAGAGGAGGTACACCTAGTTCTAGTCATAATCCATGGAAGAATGTCGCTGCTTCATATTGTGGATGTGGACTTCAGCGGGGGTTGGCAGTGGTTTTGGTCATCCACGCTGTGAGCTGAGGCAGGAAAGACCATTGAAGCTTTTGCTGTCCTGTGAGCATTCTGCACAGCAGCTTTGTGCTAGAGGGGCTTTGGTTACAAAAGATGCTTCCGGGGGGAGCGGTCTGTGTTCAGCTGGAGACCTTTCACAAGCTGCATAGGGACTGCAGGAAATGGCACAGCACGCTCGGCTTGCAGGCAAAAAAAAAAAAAAAAAAAAAAAAGCAGAGCTAATGATTGACTATTATTTTAAGGGGATTATCTAATCCGCAACCCAGAGGACAAGAGGGGCCAAAATGAGTGAAGATTGAATATGTAATTAGTGCAGATTGTTGGTAATACCCTCTGGATTCCAACTGATTATAAACAGAAACAGATTTTTTGAGTCATTTACTCCTCCCTCCCCCCCCCCCCAAAAAAAAAAAAAAAAAAAGGCATTTTCAGGCCAAAAGGCCACTTTATAGCAAACTTAGAAAGTACAGAATTTGCAGATTAGGGTATCACAGCTGGGGCAGTTCAGCAGAATGTGTCTGGGAAGTGGGGCTGTCGAAGCAGGGAGGCAGAGGACCAGTCTATCTCTGGTTATTTTGCAGTGTTAAAGGCAGAATTTGGGATGGAAAAAAAACAAATGGCATGTGTGGTAGTTTAGCTTCTTTTACCCATCCATCCATCCTGCGGTTCCATATCTGTTGTTCCCAGCAGCCATGGGACCCATGGTACATCACCATGCAGTGATGCAGCGAGTCCTTGGGGACTGGCCAGGCAGCCTGACAAAGGCTGGGACTCGTAATGAAGCCCACTCAGGAAGTACCTGATTAGGAATATTTCCTATTCTGCGTTTTGAAAAGTGATTGTTATTGTCATTTGTTTTGAATGTTGTTGTTGCTTGGACTTGGTTGTCAGCTGGCCTCTGGTCAGTTACAGCATAATACTTCTTTTCTTTTTTCTTCCTTCTATGTAACAAAGGTCATTAGAAATTAAATGAAATGGATTTGCTTCAGTTAAAGACCCATTATTAATACAAAATAAAAGATGTATGGCTAAATCCATCAGCCTAAAAATACAATTGAATATAAATAAGCCCAGAAAAGGAAGTAGGGCAAGGAATATTTAAAACAACAAACACCACACCCGAGCAAAAACTTTTGAAGCAGTTAATGAAAGCTAGGAAAATCCCTAATCTCTGATGACAAGAGGATATCTATTCCTTTCTTTTTAATTTGCTCAAAGAATGAATGAGAGAATTGACATTCTCACTGGGGTGAGGGTTCATGATTTCAATAATTGCCTTTACTCAAGTTTCAGGTGAAATCTCAGAATTTGAAAATTTCCTCTGTAAAAAAAAAAAAAAAAAAAAAAAAAGTGTGAAATTGTAATTTTGATACACTTGGACCAGACACTTCCAACCTGATTCAACCACTGCATTGTGAACCAAACACTTTAATCTTGTAAGTTACAACATTGCAGAATGAGACTTTAAATGGGAAGGTCACAATCCTGTGTGCTGCTAAGGAGCCTGCTGAAACACTCTTCTGTTTCAAATGATTTTTCTGAACCGAGGGCAAAGGTAGTTACTTAGTTCCCCAGGATTTTTTTGGTTTTGCCATAACGCCTGAAAACCCTGCTGATGGGCTGCAGATCGCTGGCCTGGAGGTAGGCTGGCATGGGCCAGCTGGAGATGCCATCACTGTGGCCCCGTGGGGCTTCTTTCAGCTTTTAGGAGACTTTGAAAAATGTGGGAGCACCTTCCAAAACACAGCAGGGCAGACAAGTGACTTTTTCCTCTCCTGTGTTTGGAGCCTCTGGGACAAGGTGGCCTCTGGGCCTCCCTTCCAGGGTGGCACCGGTGCCTGCCCTGCCCCATGGGGGATGTGCGTTCAGCTCTGTAGGGAAGCGGCCTGAGAAGAACAGCAGGAAAGCTGTGGGGAAGAGGAACCACAGTACCTGTGGGAACCTGATGGAGAAGTTATAGATCAGTTTACCAGGCAGGTTTTGCTTGCACCTGGCCCTTTGTGTTCCTTGTCAGCCATTTCTGACCCTCCCTCATGGCCCCCGCTGCCTTGCTTGTCATGCTAATATTGTTATGCTTTTGTTTTGTAGTGTTTTGGTATTTTTATTAAGAAATACTGCCGGCGTGTTTGCCTTGGCAGTGGTCCTCATTGGATTGATGTGGCATTTTTAGCTGGAGTGTTTGTTCAGCCTCTTGGATTCTTTCTCAGGGGTGGGGTGGCATGATCCAAGCCCATGAGTATGCTGGTGATCCACAAGGGCTTGTGAAAGGCTTGAGCCACAGTCTCATCTGATGGAAACCACCAGCTTCCTCTACTTCCAAAGGCCAAGCTCTGGGGATGAGACTGGCAGGTTTAGAGGAGCCCTATCTGGGTGAGAAACCTGGATCCCAGAAGGAGATGGCAGCAAGACAAGAAAGGGAGTGAGTGTCCCAGTGCCCTCAGTCCAGGTGCTCTGCAGGTACAAGCACCCCATGGCAGCACCATCAGCAGCACCTTAGAACACCTTTTGCATTTTATTATTGGTCCTGAGAATTGCTGGTTTCTTGCCCTTCCGCATTGCCTGCTTGGACTTTGTTATTCATCTTTGTCCCGAGGATACCAGGGTGGCTTACTGCTCAGCAGGTCCTTTGCAGCCAGCGATGGCTTGTTGCAAGTTTTTCTCTTGTTGATGATATTGCAAGTTTTTCCCTTACTTATTTTCCCCAGCTCCCACACTGTAGTGTGAGCTCTGCCAGGGCTATCAAAACTTTCATACTGGATGTTTTTTTGGGTTGGAGCTCCCATGTGCTCCATCTCAAAGTCCCTATGTTGCAACACCAGCATGCTGGTGGCATGAAATCCTTTCACATTCTTTGGTCTATGGTGCTTTGATGAGGTGGACAGGGGATGGAATGGGTGTGTTGAAAGTGCTGTAAGGAACATATTTTGTACACACTTAATGAAAGACTCCAACAAACAGAGATCCTCAGGTCCTCAAACCAGAAGGTACTTGGTGAGCAAGGCCTACTGCTGGCTGTGGGTTCATGGGGAATATTTGTGCTTGCCAGGATTTCCTCACTGCTGCATCCATACTTGCAGAGCGTGGGGAGCAGATGCTTTTTACTTTGCTAAACACCCACTCCAAAGCTTGGCTGTTTGTTGGGAGTAGCTCTTCAGCAAGCCAGATCCCAACATCTCTTCTTACTTGGGCACATTATAGTTGTGATTTTTTTTTGGTCTTTCAAGCCTTAGGTTTGTTGTGGGGAACTGGGAGGTGCTCTGAGACTGGGGCTGACTGGAGGGCTCCTGCAATGGTTGGTGAGCTCTTCTGTCCCATTGTCCCATGCCAGGCCTTAGACTCCCCAGTGCTGGTGGGGCTGGATGCTCCCTGCGCCAGGGTGCTGGCACATGTGCCCGCTAACCATTGCTCTCCTTCTGCTTTCAGAGCTGGCATACGACCTGGACATCGATGACACCTCTGCCAACAAGCAGCTACTGAATCAGCAAAGCAAAGACGGTGCCGTGGTTCCCAGCAGTGACCCCGGCAGTGCAGCCCCGCGCCCTGGCCCCGCTGCTGCTGTTGCCCTGGCCCTGCTGCTGCTGGGCTGCTGGCCCTGAGCGGTGCCAGCAGTGGCACTCGGTGCCTTTCCGTCCTTGTTTGTTCAGTGAGGAAAACGTTCTGAACCTCTCCTGGAATATATGCACATTGCCAAAGACAGGGCAAATGACTTGAGTCAGTTTTATAAAATAATATGGTATCTTCACACCTTCCCTCCTCTTTCTCCCCTCCCAAAAAAAGCGTTTGTTGATGGTAAACTAGTAAATACATAACAGTGCTTTTTAAAGATAATCCTGTTTAATATAAGAAGGTTGATATTAAATTGTTCCTAGCAGTTTTTGAAGACTGAGGTCTGCCTTGCTGTTAAATTGAAGAGCATATTTCATCTTGAGTTGTTTGAATGTGCATGGGGTAAAGAATACTTACGATTTATGAAATACTCTCAGCAAATATCAGACCCCTGTTCCCAGCTGACTTAATACAGATTTTTTTTCTGTAGTTCGAGAAGTTTTTGTACTTACTCCAAATTCAAGAGTCACCCCTAGGAATTGGGCCAGGCGCATAACATGGAGGGCATGTGAAGACAGGAGAGAGAAGGTCAGATGTACAGCAGGAGGCAAGACGCTGTGGAAGAGGAATGGCCATGTGCTGGGATCGCCAGGTATCTGCCACCTCCTGCTGTGGCTCCACTGCCATCAGCCCCAGCCACGTCCTGGCACCACCGCTGCTGGCTCCTGTGTGCAGAGGGGCCAGACCTGCCCTATTCCAGCCACAGGTCCCCACGAGTCCCCGAGTGCTCCTGGCACAGGTAGGCAGCAATGGGAGGAACCAGCACAGGAGCCAGGGACAAGCATGAAGGAGGAGGTGCCTCGCTAGCGTGCTGCAGGCAGAGCACAGGCGCCTCTCCTCTCTCTGGGCTCTGGCTGGAGCCGTAGGTGCCCACCAAGGATGCACACATCAGGCTGCTGTCTCCAGAGCAGATTGTTTCCAGACACCAATGCATGGGGATGTGCTCCTGCAAAGCTCACCTGCAGCACGACAGGTTGCAGGTGGTTTCACCTCCCAGCTGGGTCCTGTGAAGTCCTTCAGTGCAGACAGCCACATCCCCTACATCTTCCCTGGCAGTGGTGCATGGGGCCCCGTGGCCCATGCAACGCCCTCACAGTACTCTTTGAAGCAAAGCACCCCCTTTCCCATGGGAAATCTGCAAACATAGCTCCAGCCAAAGGACAGACAGCATGGATGTACACGCTGTGCTTTATGGGGATGAATAACAGGCGTCCAACACATTGTGCTACAAAGGAGGAACAGAAAAGGATTTGCAGGAGCCCAGAGGCAGATGAGACTCTTTCTCAAGTGTTTTTTTTGTTGTTTTTTTTTTTGCATGTTACTTTGCTTAAACAGTCTCTAAAATAAAGGTCAGTTGCTCTATAAATGGTGCACTTCAAGTCACCTCCCCTGTGAGAGAGGCGATGCTCTGCGTTGTTCCTGGAGTGGGCAGCCTGGAAAGCCTGGCTCGGGACTTGGGGCACCGCAGAAAAGCTTCTGTTAGGCTGATTAAATGGATGGGCAGGGGCCAGGGAATGTTTGGTTTGATTCCTGGCCAAAATGGTTACATACTTCAGTTTAAGGTTCTGCTTTTACTGGAGTGATTATATCTGCAGTATCTTAAGCTGCAATATGTGTGTGTACGCATGCACGCACACTCACACGTGCATGCTTCAAATATTTCTGTGCCTCTGACCTTATAAAACAAAGAAAAAAACAATGATGTTTGAGAGAAAGTACATAAATCCAAACCACGCAATTAAATGGTTTGGAGAGCGGAAACTTCACCTCTTCTTACTTTGAAGTGGTGGGGCTGATCTCGCTGACACTGATTTAAAGGCTTGCGACTGTCTGCCGTGCTGTGATTCATAAGCCATGGCAGAGAAAGAAGAACGGGCTGATCATCCCACGCCTCTGCATGGGGACGTTAACTCCCAGCCACCCACTCCTGATGGAGGGGAGCAGGGCTGGGCTGAGCTGCAGCGGGACCTGCTGGCTGGCAGCCCAGAGATTTCCTCTGGATCTCAGACACCCCCTGTCCTGCCTGTGCTGGAGTGAACTTGGGGGAGGTTAAGCAGTGCTGGTGCCACGTTGTTGCCAGCAGAGGCATTTCCTGACCCTCTTGCTCTTGTGTTGGCCCAGGTCTCCCCATCACCCCTGTCTGCACCGCGGCAGGCTGTGCCAATGAGCCTCTGCTCCACCAAAGGGAATATTTTATTAGAGCCACTTGAATTCCCGTCACTTCTTCCCTTCTGATCGTTTCCTTTCATCCCCCTGGAGCACTGGGGGTGGGAACAGGAAGGCCGTTGTGTTTGCTCAGAGGCAGTGTGCTACGTCTGCCCTGGCACGTGTCTCTGGTGCCAGAATAGGAGACGTTCTTGCTTCTAGGACTGTGTTGGAAATATTGCATGTACTGTTTTTTCCTTGGATAAATAGCAGGATGGCGCAGCACATGGCACCAGCTTTTCTGCAGTGAACATCCGGAGTGCTTTCTCTCAGGAAGGCAATGCAGGCTGTGCCTCGCTGGGTATTTTACAAAGGCTGCTTGGTTTTCCCAGTGTGATGTTGATGCTTGTCAACAGAAAGCCCCTCTGTAGCATGCTGAGCCCATTTTCTCATTGCATGGACGTGCTGTTTAGCAAAGCTATGTTGTTTGAGACTTTGTTATGATAAGAGATCACACAAAAAAAAAAAAGACAATTTTTGAGCCCTCTATCTGCCAAGTTTCTAAAATAATGCATTATAACTTGGGAAGAGCTGTTGATTTATGCCCTGCAGTGAGTTTGTGTGCGTATGTTTTCACAAGGATTTTGCGTGAAGCTTATAAACTATTGCAAAATTTCCTTTTTTTTTTTTTTTTTTTTAAACATAACTGAGAGTTGACTTACCCACTACGCTCCCTGTTGCTATATCAAAGTGCTGCAGTGCCCTGTTAGATGACGGGATGAAACTTCCCTTCACTGATCTCTGTCTGAGCAGACTTCTGCCCTGTAACCACCTCCCTGCTCTGCCATTAGCAAAATGCGCCCTGGCCACTAAGGTGAAATGAAGCTGGGATTCAGTTTTGGTCAGCTGGGCATTGTTTCACTCCCATGCCATGAGAAATATGAAATTCTTGTTTCTGCACACCACTGCTGCTCACTGTCCCTTGTGTTGCCATGGGGTGGAACGTCTTCATCAGGGGATGGGGACTGCTACATCCCCTGCGCACGTAGGTGTGCCAGGACAGGATAACCCAGCGAGGAAACACAGAGCTGAGGCAACAGGAGCTGCTGGGGCAGTGGCTCGGCTGTACTCACACTGTCGTGATAATGTGGGTAAGTGGCAGTGGCTGTGTCTGGCCAGGGAGGCATGTGGCCAGAGTAAATATCTGTCTGTTTTGCTGCCAGTGGGAAAATTGACACAGGGTTTTATGTCAAGGAGGTGCTCATGGGGGGAAAAAAAGAAAAAAAGGTAAAAAATAACAAACAAAAAAACATTCTAGATAATTTCCAGCCCTGCAGTGAAACCCAGAAGCCAGTCCCTGGCTCTTCCTGACTCTGATCCCCAAGCCTCCGCCTGCAGAGCTGTGTGGTTGGTGCGGTCTGCCTCGTGCAGGCAGAAGGACCTGGGGAAGATTTCCAGCCTCGTGGCTGAGCTCTTGACACTTTCTGCTTTGCAGCTCTTGTTGAACACTGGCAGCCAGGAGCTGCTGCTGCCACCATGCCCAAGCAGGATGGAGCAGCACCTTGCTGCTCGCAGCATTGATGAGGCTCTGGGTGGGTTTGTGAGCAGCCTGGAGAAGGTGGCAAAGCCGGCACCTTCTGCTGATGTCTAGGGGTAGACCCGAGATTCAAACACATGCTTCACATGTGTAATGTATTTCTGTACTAACCATGCATCAAATTATAATTCAAAACCAAAATATTTTTGTTGGATGGGAAATCCCAGTTCATTAATCAATTGACTAATAGTTTAGAGCCTGGAATGCTGTAATCTAACGCACTTAACAGCTGCTTGAAACAGCTGGTGCTTATGGCTCTCACTGTTTTGGGAAGTGAGATCTAGAATATCTCAGTTTTGTTTTTCAGGGGAGTTTTTCAGAACTGCTCCTTTATGTCCATGAGCAAAGAGCTAAAGCACTTGCAAGCAGGGAGCCAGCGGGGATGTAGGACTGGGTTCACTGGTGCTTTCTACTGAAACAAAGCATCGCTTACCCAGGGGCTGCAGCACGTACCAGGCATGTCTGTGAGCATGGCAGCCAACGTGCGTGTGCTCCTGAAACTTGGAATAAGGGGGATGTGTAAGCATGTGCTGTCAGCTGTTTGGATTTTGAGTCCAAACCAGTGCCTGCTGATCCATGGGTAGGGCAGAGGAGAAGCCACCAGCAGAGAGGGCAATTCCCAGCTGCTCCCTGGCCTCAGAGGAGGGTGCTCAGTTCAGGCACAGGCCACAGTGCTGACTAGGTGGCCCACTGATCACCGTTGTTTTGCAAGAGGGAGAGATGACTGCCTGTGCCCAGCTTCCTTGGCAGTTTTGTTTTCTTTCTCCTTCGGTTTCTTGGCAGCTGCCAGCCCAGCAGTGAGAGCTTTGAGGCCTCAGGGGAGCCGGTGGCAATTGCAGGGGCAGTGAAGGAACAAGGAGCAGGGGCTGAGCAGGCTGCAGGCAGGGACCGGACATCTCATAAATCTGTCAGATAAAATCCAGGAAACCACAGAGACCTCAAAATGCTCAGAACAACACGTGTGCTGCTGAGGTGCCTCCTTCAAACCTCGTCCCCAGCTGGGCATCGCCAGCATGCAGCACCACGCCGGTTCCCAGCTCGCTGGGGGGACCTGTCGTGTCTCAGGACAAGTTGTGTCCTGAAGAGCCTCTTACCTAAGCTAAAGCATCTCAGAAACACCATTTGCTTCCCAAATGTTCGGGCACCTTGCTGGGAGTTTTCCTGAGCTTTTCGGCAGCACTGCAGCTTAATGATTGACAAAGCTGCTAAAATTTTACCAGATCACAAGCCACAATCCCAGAAGCAGGTGTCTGTTCCCATAAACTCAATGATTTTTTTACATGATCAGCAGCAAATCGAGAGCTGAGGTTGACCCAGCTGAGTGTCAGCAGAATTACAGATCCTGTGCATGCATTATTTGTTGCTTTACCAAGGACCCAGGTATAAAGGTGTGGAAATGTGCAGCTGGAGGGGAAGCATGTGAAACCATTCCACTGGAGGAGGATGCTTGCTGGTCCTCAGCATGGGAATTTGTTTTTTCTACCTTTTATTAGGGTCACTGACAAATCTTGGTGTAGGGGACATGTTGCACATCGTAAAAACAGTGAAGCTCTCTGCATGAAGAGAGGCAGTGGGTTTTGTTGGGATCAGGTAGCGGGCTCCTGCCTTCTGCTTGGTCATGGGAGACCAAAGAAGTAAAAGTGGAGTTAAAAAAAAAAAGGCAGCAAACAAAACCCTAAATAAGCTT